GACTATTGTCCTCATCTTTGTCGCCACCAACGTTTCGGCCCTTCAGTATCTGTCTATATTTCTGAGATGATGTACACTATTTACATTATTATGTCATCTTTGTTGCCACATTACGTTTTACATTGTCTATATTTCGGACTATTGTCCTTGTCCTCATCTTTGTCACCATATTTATTACAACGTTTCGACCCTTCAGTATCTGTCTATATTTCTGAGATGAGGTATTATGTACACTATTTACATTATTCGGACTATTGTCCTCATCTTACTATTGCCATATTTATTACAACGTTTCGGCCTTTCCGTATCTGTCTATATTTTTAGATGAGGTATTATGTACATTATTTACATTATTCGGACTATTGTCCTCATCTTTGTTGCCATATTTATTACAACGTTTCGGCCCTTCAGTATCTGTCTATATTTCTGAGATGAGGTATTATGTACACTATTTCTGGCCCTTCATATATTCTGAGGACTATTGTTCTATTTTCATCTTTGTCGCCATATTTATTACAACGTTTCGCCCTTCAGTATCTGTCTATATTTCTGAGATGAGGTATTATGTACACTATTTACATTATTCGACTATTGTCCTCATCTTTGTTGCCATATTTATTACAATGTTTCGGGACCATTCAGTCATCTGTTTATATTTGGCCTTTCAGATGATATTTATTATGTACACTATTTACATTATTCGGACTATTGTCCTCATCTTTGTTGCCATATTTATTACAACGTTTCGGCCCTTCAGTATCTGTCTATATTTCTGAGATGAGGTCTACACTATTTATTTCGACTATTGTTAGATGAGTCTATATTTTTAGGATGAGGTATTATGTACATTATTTACATTATTCATTATTATTGTCCTCATCTTTGTCACCATATTTATCACAACGTTTCGGCCCTTATATCTGTCTATATTTCTGTGATGAGGTATTATGTACACTATTTACATTATTCGGACTATTGTCCTCCTCTTTGTCACCATATTTATTACAACGTTTCGACCCTTCAGTATCTGTCTATATTTCTGAGGCGAGGTATTATGTACACTATTTACATTATTCAGACTATTGTCCTCATGTTTGTTGCCATATTATCACAATGTTTCGACCGTTGAACTCTCCGGCCTTCTTATTGAAGGTATTGAACCCACAACTCTTTAGACAAAAGAGTTGTGAGTTCAGTACCTGGTTAAGGTAGTGGAGAACTTGGAGAGATGAATTAACAGGAGATAACTGATAATTGACATTCATTAAACATGGCCCGTGTAACTAGAACAGTTTACTCCAGCGAGCGAAATAAAGGGTTCAGTTCGACATTCCAACCACCTGAAGAAGGCCGGAGCGTACAACGGCCAAAACGTTGTGATAAATATGGCGACAAAGATGAGGACAATAGTCCGAAAAATGTAAATTTCGGTACTTGCCCGTTTCAGACGTCTCCAGTTCGCTGCCCGCATCTTTGGGCGTTCCATTTTGATAATTTTTGCTTAAGAATACTTCTGGACTGGCGCTACAGAATCACAAACAAAGAACTGTACCAAATTAGAGAAATCGCATCATTTGAGGACTTTCAATAGCCGCTAGAACTAAATAACCGAAAGAGAAAATAATGAAATAATTAAGATGTTGACCCACCGCACGACTTTAAACAAAAGGCTAGGAAGGCAACCCCCATCAGTCCTGGAAAGAGTATTAACAGCTACTGGGCTTAAGAAGAGAAAATAATGACATAATCAAGATGTTGGCATTCCACACCACTTCAAACAAAAGGTTAGGAAGGAAACCCCCATCAATCCTGGAAAGAGTGATAACAGCTACTGGGCTTGAGAAGAGAAAATAATGACATAATCAAGATGTTAACATTCCACACTACTTCAAATAAAAGGTTAGGAAGGAAACCTCCGTCAATAATGGAAAGAGCGATAACAGCTAGCGGATTTGAAAAAAAAAACTATTTTCCTGAAAAATTGTTTTAACGAAAAGATTTTATAAATTTCAACCGAAGGTAGCACTGGCTGGACGGTCATTAAATGTCAAATGTTTCCTTATAAGGAAACGGCTAATATTACAATTAAGCTTTAGATATTAGGAGAACTTCCAAATCCTACTACACATTTATCCCAGTCCGATGGGCAGTGGGTACGTTCTGTGCTAAACTTTTATTCTGTCGCACTTCTCGCTTGTGGAACTCTCTTCCGGTTTCTTGCCTCCCAATCAACGTTGATCTTGAAAAATTTAAATGCAATGTCAGTCGTTCTCTTCTGCCTTCTTAATCGCTGTTCTTTTATTGTCCTCTCATTAAAATAGTGTATTCTCTTCCACTTAGATGTTAAACTACTCTTCAAAGCCTTGTAAGTGCTCAATGGGAGTTGCAGTTTTCGAGCTTTTGAAACCACAAGGATCTGATATATTTGAAACATCCCGATCCAACAGGAGTTTAACATCGGCCGAGGAGACACATTTGTGTTGTGGAAACGTGATTGTAA